GATCATATGGTTCTTATCTTTAAGTCTATTGATGTGGTGAATAATATTTATTGATTTACGTATATTGAACCATCCTTGCATCCCAGTGATATCTTATTTTTATGGCTAAAATTCTCTGGATAAATAGAGACATATGAGAAAATATAAATTCAGGTCGCTGTGATCTTTGTAACCTGCCTTTACCTTCATTATGACAATATTTATATGTAAATACATTTCTGTGAAAATATTTTAAATTACAATTTAGTTGTTTTTGATTTTACATCAAATGATCATTTCATCATATAGATGCTGCCAAGTATTTTACTTGTATTGTTGATAAAAATTTACTTCCTTTACCATTTGTATTAGAGACTATAGTTTAATATCCTCAGACACAATACCTTTATTTTGACACAATATCTTTATTTATTTATTTATCTTTATTTATTTATTTATCTTTATTTTTATGTGGTGCTGGGATCGAACCTGGTGCCTCACACATGCTGGGCTAGCACTCTACCACCGAGCCACAACCCCAGCCCTGATGTATATTCTTTTAAAATATTTTTAGTTGTAGATGAACACAATACTTTATTTTATTTATTTATTTTTATGTGGTGCTGAGGATCGAATCCAGTACCTCATAAGTACTAGGCAAGCGCTCTACCACTTACAGTCCCAGCCCACTAATGTATATTCTTAACAACGTGGTATGACAGTATCTGTTTCTTTACACATTGGAAATAATATGAATTATTGCTAATCTGATAGGTAACATACCACCTCTCACTATTGTTTTCATTATAACTTATTTTTTACTGCCCTCTAGAATTCTATCTTATGGATGCGATATTCACTTTTCCTAATACTGTGTTAATTGGGGTGTTCTGATATTCCTCATTATCAACCCTGTGGGATGGCATTACACCACTTGAAGGGCACAGTGTGAGGTAGAGTTCACATGGCTGTTTGCAAGATGAGATGAATATGCTCTGTTTGAGCCCAGCAAACTGTCGTGGGAGAATTCTAGTCATACCAGAACCTGGTTTGTATGTGTCTGCATGCTGACAATCATGCTTCCCTCTGCTTTCTTCTGCCTCTTTGTGGCTTTGCCTCCTATTTAGCCTATCTTTCTAAATTCAGGCCTAGAAGTAGAGGAAGGGAGTTCTCAGGATGGCAGTGTTTGTTATTTTTTTCTTGTTTTTTTTTTTTTTTTTTTTAGGTGTAGATGGACACAGTACCTTTATTTATTTATATGTGATGCTGAGGATCAAACCCAGTGCCTCACATGTGTTAGGCAAGCGTTCAACCACTGTGCTGTAACTGCAGCCCTTCCTTCTGCCACCTTTTTTTTTTTTTTTTTTTTTTGTAGCAGGGATTGAACTCAGGCCACTCAACCACTGTGGCACATCCCCAGCCCTTTTTGTATTTAATTTAGAGACAGGGTCTCACTGAGTTCTCAGGGCCTTGCGAAATTGCTGAGGCTGGCTTTGAACTCATGATCCTTCTGTCTCACCCTCCAGAGCTGCTGGGATTACAGGCGTGTGCCACTGCACCTGGCCTCCATTTATTAATATATATTTTTTGGTTGTAGATAGACACAAGACACTTATTTTATTTATTTATTTTTATGCATTGATGAGTATCAAATTCAGTGCCTCACATGTGCTAGGCAAACTCTCTACCACTGAACTGCAACCCCAGCCCCAGGATGGCAGTGTTTATAACCAGATTCTTATTCATGGCCCTTACTAGGTCCTGAAGATAGACTTCTAAAAGGGAAATTGTTGGTGCAAAGGGTGTGCACCTATGTGGCCCTTTGATAAGTACCGCTATCCTGACATTCATGAAGGAAGTTCTAATTTAGTCTCCTAAAATGGAAGCATATGGAAAATAAAAGTATGGAGAGGCATGAGGAAAGTAATAATGCTGACTTCCTGTCATAGAGGGCGGGCCTTAGACTCTATTTTGGACCGATTCTTAAGTTACCATCATAGTTGGAAGATGTGAAAGAGATCAGAGATAAATCAGATTTTCACTACAAGGGCAACCTCAGGAAATTTTTGATTATTCTTGGGGTATAACAGAAGACCAGGGGATGGGGGTGTAGATCAGTGGTAGGGTGAATGCTTGGCACATGTGAAGCCAAGGGCTTAATCCCCATACCAAAAACAAAACAAAACAAAACCCTAGGCCAAAAATCACATTTTAAAAGCTTTCTTGCAAATATAAAGACAATTAAAATCACACATTTTAAAGTTGGTAATTTTTAGTAAATAGATTGAGTTGTGTAACTATATCCATAATGGACTTTTGGATGTTTCTTTACCTGAAAAATTCCCATTGTGTTTCAGTGCAGTTAAATCTGCACCCACCCCCAGCCACATGAACTACAGTTATGCTTTTTGTCTTTATGGATTTTCCTGTTCTTAGCATTTCATGTAAATGGAATTATGATATTTGATCTTTTGCATCTGGCTTCGTTTACTTCAGATAATATTTTCAAGGTTCATCCATATTCTAGCATGTAGAATTCATTTCTTTTTATGTCTGAATAACATTCTGTTTTAAGGATATACTGTGTTTTGTTTATCCATTAATCTTTGCATAATTTTCACTTTTTATTAATTGTGATTGATGATGCTGTGTACACTTATTAAAGTTTTGATGAAGACATGTTTTTATTTCTCTTGAGTATATACTTAGGAGTGGAATTGCTGGGCGTATGGTGATTCCATGTTTATCTATTTGAGGAACTGCTAGAATACTTTCATGGCCCTGACAATCATGAGGCTTAGTCAGTTTTTCTCTATGTTAGATCATTCTATGAGTTTTGAGAAACAATACCACAGAGTTGAAGCACCCTTCTTGCTACATCATATCTGGTACTACATGATGCTCACATGACATAGTTTTCACTTGGTTAAGGCAATGTTTTCTTAAGTTTCTTCTAGCGTACAGTAACAATTTTCCATTTGCCTAGAGAGCATGTAGAGACAAGAAAGAAAATCCTGACGTGTTTCTCTTTTCGCTGTGAATCCATGCCATTTCTATGTGTTGGAATGAGTGCCCTAATAGGGAAGGGGGTAGGGAAGAAGGGAATTGATTATATCATAACCATTCATCTGAAGTCACTGTCTACCCCATTTCTTCATGTTTCCCAAATTTTCCTGTCTCCTCCTTTTATCCCCCTGTTTTACATGAGAAAAGCATATTTCCTTGAGCTCCTGAAGGGAGAGAGCAAATCTTCATGCTGTGTATTCTGGAAATGATGCTGGAGCAAGACAGACAGATCTCCCTGGGCAAGCATTATATCCAAATCAGAAACTCTGGAACATTCTTGACTTGGGGGTAAGTCTCATCACTCTCTTATCCTCACCTGGGAACACATGTATCTGTTGTGTGTGAGCGTCTTTGCTCTGTGGTAGAGTGGTGACAAAGAAAATAGACAGGTGGGGACTAAGTGCTTGGTGAATGAATCAATACCCAGGGCATAGGCTCCAGTTCCTCTGTTTTGGATCCTATTCTCATGTTGAGCATTTATCATCTTTCTGTCCCTTCCCAGGGGTGACCTAGATGCCTACTTTCTCTCTATGTCGCCTACTGTCACAAAGGGGTAGGAAAAATAGCAACAACAGAGAGAGAGAGAGAGAGAGAGAGAGAGAGCGAGCGAGCGAGCCACTGGAGGACCTGCTGTTCTCCTCTGTCCTGGAGAAGTTGGGAAAAAAGAAGAAAATCAGCATCCTATTTCCTCTTGTTGTAGATACTATCATGTTCCCAATTTTTCAGTACACTTAAACTCATAGACCAGCCAACCCACTTGACACTATAGTTAGGCCTCATGGCACAAAGATTTCATCACTGGCACCATCTTTAACATGGGGGGTTGTCAAGTGAGTACTTACATATAGAGCATAGTACTGGGAAAGTTGAAAATGACCATTTTCCAAATGGGAAGCTGCTGGTTCTTTTGCGGGGAGAGCAAGAAATGGAACCTCATTTCTATCCTGCCACTTCTCTGGAGAGAGTCTTAGACTTTGTGAGGCTGAGCTTGGTCACATGTGAAATGGTACTCACCATTCCTTCACACTGACATCTGATGGTAAATAAGAAATGCTGAAAAGTACCCATGGGATACAGTGTGAGTCCTGTTTCCACTGCCTCCTCCCTCCCAGGGGGAGATGTCATTGGCCAAAGCTCAAAAGTGTAAATGCATAGAGAGCCTGTGCAAAGGGAGCAGCAAGCATTGAAATAGACCCCAGAATGTGTAAGCTTTGGGCCAGTGTGAAGCTGTGATTTTTGTTACCTGATGGTTGGGACAGAGGAATAAATTATGGCACCATTTCCTATTTTTACATATGCATGCTGTCCCCTTACTTCGCCATACTGTTTGATACCAGAGGAACAGTTTCCCATTGATTCTGAGGTAGAGCAGACAACATGGATGCTGGACCAAAGATGAGAGTCAAGACACTGGACACCTCCCTGACTGCAGATTCTTGGGTGAGTCACTTCCCCTGTGCTGGCCTCACCCTAGCACAGTGATGCCCTATAATAGTAGCCTGAGCTCTGGGTCAAAAACCAGTTTCAGTCTGGATACCACTGATGAAGTTGGAGTGATTTTTTAAAAAATTTGTCTTGAATCTCCATGTGGTAGGCAGAATTCTAAGATGATATCCAATGACCTTCACCCTTGTGTAATCTCCTCCTCTTTGAGCATGATTTGAATCTGTGAATATGATATGTGGTCCATGATTATATTCTGTTATGTAGCAAAAGAGAGACTATTTGGGTAGGCCTGACCTACTCAGTTAAGCTCTTTTTTTTTCTTTTTTGGTACCTGGTATTGAACTCAGGGCCACTTGGCCACTGATCCACATCCCCAGGCCTATTTTGTATTTTATTTAGAGACAGGGTCTCACTTAGCGCCTCGCTTTTGCTGAGGCGGGCTTTGAACTTGCAATCCTCCTGTCAGCCTCCTGAGCCACTGGGATTATAGGCATGTGCCACCGCACTTGGCCTCAGTCAAGTTCTTTAAAAGTAATTTTTCTGGCTGTTCTAAGTAGGGGAAATCAGAGATTCACAACCCAGGAAGCATTCAATGCACCATCACTGGCTGGAAGATGAAGGTGACTATACAGCAGAAAATTGGACTAGTCCCTAGGAGCAAGGAACCTTCATAGATGACAGCCATAAGGAAAATGAGGACTTCAGTCCAATAGTCACAAGTAGATTATTTCTGTAGCAACAAGCATGATTGATATTGGAATTAGATTACTCCCCAGAGGCTTCAGTTGAGACCTCAGTGGGACCTACACCAATACCTGGATTTTTCCCTAAGCACATAATAAGGTCATGCTGTGCCAGACCTCTGACCTATAGGTCTGTGATCTATTGAATGGGTGTAGATGTTAGTCCCTACACATGTGGGTACACAACTGCAGAAAATTCATCCATTCCAGTTAAACTGGATTCATACTCATTGCATATAGAGTGTATATGTGTGCAGATGATACTTGGAGAGAATATAACACATGATAACTTTTACTAGTGCACGGTGAAGCTGATGGTTATGGATATATTCATAGTGGTATCTGAATTCATTTTCCACATTTCCCAAGAGGATGATGGGTTACCTGTTAATCAGAGATAAATAAAACCCAATAGTTTTCTTAATGTAAACATATTAGAATTCAGACATTTGAAAAGGTATAATAAATACCATAATAACCAGATATGTCCACAACCAAGACTGTAAAATTAAACATCAAAGTAAATATACCTGGATGACTTTTCTGATGCCTCACCCCCAAAAGGACCCATTATCCAAAATCTGTTTTTGACATTCTCCTGCTTTGCTTCACGTTTTACCCCTGTGACTATATCCCTAAACAAAACCCATGGTTGCTTTACTTATTTTAAGCCCTTACATAAGTAGTATATTTATATTTATATACTACTTATTGATTTTTTTCTTCACTGAACATAGTGTTTTTGAGATCTCTCTAATAATGCAGCTTTGGGGTTTTGATATTTTAGCTATGCTTGGTGACCTGCTTGCATATTTGTCTGAGGCACTGAGTATTCCAGTATTCCAACCACTAACAGGGCCTCACTTGGTGATTTTCCCTTAAATGTTGGCAAGTGTCTGCAGAGAAATTATATCAACTTGTCCTTTCCCAGGTGTATATGTAGTTCTCATGACTCCAGAATTTAGATTTAAACAGGACACAGTCTGAATACAAATTTAGTGGCCATATTTGTTTTTATTTGTTGTTTTTTTTTTTATTTTTGGCTTTTTTGTTTTTTGTTTGTTTGTTTTGCCAAATACTATAATTATTCCAGGATATATTCTGAGGCATAAAGAGGGAATACTATCTTTGTTGTTAGAAATGCACATAAGTGAAGATTTGGGCCTGTTGTTTCTTCTTTTAGGCGCAGGGACTCTGTTCTAGTGCCTAAGTCTCTGATCCACTTTGAGTTGAATTGGGAAACACATTATTGCACAGATCTACAGAAACAGGTGTTTTCATCATGTAGTTTTGGGGATACACATTAGTGAAGAGATAATAAATTTTAACTAGATAGCAAATACTAAAAAGGCAAAGTGATCATTGTCTTTGACAAAATGTGATCATTGTCAGGACTTTTCTTCCTGATGTGGGCTGAGGAGCCCTCTTATTCATCACATTGCTTAGGGCTGAGCTGAGCGTTTTGCTAGCTAACTTGTTGCCTTGAGGTCCCCTGAACCTACTCCATCTACCCAAGCAGGAAAATTTGCCTCATGGCTGAGATAGAGCATCCACAACCACCACTAGTGTTGATATGGGGCAGTACTTAGGTCCCTCCTTCTGGAAGGACCTGTAGATCTCCTCCCTCATCCATGTGTGGGAGAAATCTCCTTTCTTCTCCCTTCTCTGTATCCTTAGAGGCTGCTCTCCCCTCTCTGCCATGTACAAGCAGCCCAATTCTTTCCATGAGCTTAAGTTTTCATAAAAGAAGAAATCCTGACTTCAGACAGCTTCTGTTTCCATCTTGCCATAAACCTCCCCTAGAGCAAAAGGAAGGGGCACCAAGTCTGTCACTCTGTGGAAATGCAGGAAGGGTGATGATTTTAATAATTTACTCTGTTTGGTTTATAGATTAGATTTGGGAAATCGACTATTTTGGGTGCCCCTTAAAAACACAAGCCTTTTGAAATAAAAACTTAGGAATAGGTGACAGTGTTTGTCTATATTATATTGACCATAGGTTCTAGTTTTACCTTCCTAAAATAACTCAGATTCCCTGAATAAAATTTGTTTTGTAATCTTAGGTCATAGATTTGACCAATTAAGGATAGTCTCTTACTTTTCTACCAGATGGCTAACTGCTTAGAATGGTGTATTTTACATGGCTCAGCAATCTCCAAGACTCCTTGGAGCTATTGCTGGGTTTCTGTGTGCTGGGACTAGTCCCCTAGTGCCATTTTCAAAGCAAACACAATTCCTGATAACAGGGGCATGTGTTTTTCCACCAAACTGGGCAGAGTTCCCCAAAATGCCTGAGCCCCAGCCTAGTCCCTCTAATTATTATATTTTCTCAGGTAGTGTCCTGAAGAGCGGAGGCATTTTTTTCCTTAGTGTGAAAAGCAAGAAGACAAAGAGCCAAGAAGAGCATTTCCAGTTTGATGGAACAGTCCGTGCTGGCGGTTGCTATAGTAACCTGACGTCATCATCGTGATCATGACAATTTTTCACTAGAGACTTCCATGGCCTGGCAGTAAAAGCAGGGCCTTGTCTTCAGGTATTTGGACTCATAGAGGGTATGAACAGAGTTCTTCCCATTGCCTGAATCTGAACCTTGTTCCTCTAATTAGTGCACTTTTTCAGGTGGCCTGAGGGTGAAGGTGTTTTTGATTTCAGAGAAAGACAAGGGGACTGAGAGGAGGCCTGTACAGAGGCATTTCTAGTGCTGAGGACAAATCTGTGTATTGTGGTTGCCATAGAAACCAGATGTCATTATGGCCACTATGGTGACTGTGATGACATTTTAAAGGAGACCCACTTGCTATGGTTGGAGAGCAGTGTCCCACCTCCAGGTGTTTGGACTCAGCAGAGGGTGTGGGTGCCCCACAGTGGGGACTGAGGCATGGAGAGACAAAGGCATCTGAGACCCAAATCACCTTGTTCCCACGCTGGGTCATGGTGCCCTGCTGACTTAAGAGGGAGAGAAATATGGAACCCTCCTGGCTCCAGGCAGTGTGATGTACTGTGTGGATATTATAGGATCATAGATGCCTGTATAAATTAGACCACTTCTTATTCCTTTTCAAATTTGTTTTTAACAGATGAGAGATAAGTAACAGAGAATAAAAAGGTCCTGGTGAAAAGTCCATTGTACCTCTGGTTGTTATAATCACTACCCAGTTGTACCAGTGCCTAGCACGGTACTAGGTACACAGTTCCTCTTATGAGGCACAGTGATTCTTGGGTTCTCTTTTTTCCTGAGAAATTCCTCTTGGGCTTATTATATCAAGTGTCTGAAGAAGGCAGTTTCCGAGGATCTGAGTGGTGATGGCTGCTGAACTTCTACCCCACATTTAAATGCTGCAGTGCTCAGGAGACCCCTGGTGTGATATGAGTCTTGGTTCATGTGAGTTCATAGAGCTAAACATAGTCATGTTGTTGAACATTGTCTACAAGGTTCACAAAATCATATAAAAGTAGACAAGCTCTTTTAACATCATCATTTGAAGAAGAAAATGGAGTTTTGTCCCATTGGCAACTTATATGCTTTGTTGTAGCCCTTGAGGCTCATTTATCCTAGAGATGGCTTCTTAGTCTGAAAGCAATGAATCCTTCAGCTTGTGGTAGGAACTTGATATTTAACAGGTATGTTCAGTAAATTTCATTTACTTTTGGATTATATGCATAAAAACTGTGATTCCTATCAAAATCTTCAAATGAGTATTGAAATATACAGTTGGTTAGAAGGCATTGTGAAATTGTAATATGGAATCGAATCATCCTTGGTAGCCAAGTTTTATGCATTCTTAAATTTTTGTAGAAACCAACAATTATCTAAGGATTAGTTTAATATAATAATTTTTATTATTTTAAAAAATGTTAATTAAAATAGAATTTATCCTATTGTAATTCAGAGCTATGTTGTTTAAAATAACCAAATACACTGAATATCAGTATGATTATTTTATCAGGTTGTACCATTTCAATTTTAGACTTCAGAAAGAAATGTGCATCACCTTTCCCTAAATATTTAGATAGACCTCATTGCAAATGATTGCTTCTATTTTGGTCATATGTTGTATGAAAAACTCAAAAAGACCTAGTGATTATCTGTTAATATGACAGGATCATCTTAGTGGAAATTATTCTATTTAAATGTATTTCACTAAATCTCTGAAGAATACAAGTGTATTTCTAATGCTTTATTGATGTATGATTCATGTGTAATTCAGCATATTTAAAGTCTTTGCTGAAGTATTGACATCTATATGCACCAATGAAGCCAACACTACAGCAAAGGAAATATATATCCATCCCCCCCAAAAGTGTTTTACTGCCCCTTTGCCATCCTCATACCCACATATCTCCTTCCAGCCTCCCTGCCTCTCCCACCCCTCCCCATTTTCAAGCAACTACTGTTCCCTCACTGTTGATTATTTTGCATTTCTTATAATTTTATGTAAACAGATTCATATATGTATTCACTTTTGTCTGGCTTCTTATATTCAACCTATTAATTTTAGATTTATCCATATTGTTGCATGATTAACTACTTCCATTTTAATTGCTGAGCACTACTCCATTATATAGATATGCCACAATTTGGTTTTATCTATCCATTTTATTATGGATGATGAGCTTTCATTGTGTATACATTATATATATATATATATATATATATATATATATATATATGATTTCTTTGTCTAGAGTACATAACTATGATAGCCTATGATAGACATAAAATAATTATCGTCAGAAACTGCCAAAATCTTTTCCAAAGTGGTTGTATCATTTTTCATTCTCATGAGCAATATATGAGAGTTCATTCTCCACAACCTTGTCAACAATTGGTATGGTCCGTCTTTTTTAATTTTAGCCATGTTCATGGGAGTGTAGTGGTATCTCATTGTAGTTTTAATTTATATTTCTAAAACAATGATGTTGAACATCTTTTCATATGATTACTTGCTATTTATATATATTCTTTGGTGAAGTTCACATTGTTTTCCTATTTATTTATTGTGTCTTTTTTCTTTTTATTGATTTCTAATTTTCTGGATATGTTACTAGTCAGACATATTACTTTCATTCACTTTTTTTCAAAGTCATTTTATTTCTTTATTTAATTTTGGTACTAGGTATTGAACCCATGGATGCTTTACCATTGAGCTACATCTCCAGCCAATTTTTTTTTAACATTTTGAGACAGGGTCTTGATAAGAGGCCTAGGTTAGCCTCCAGCTTGCAATCCTCCTGCTTCAGCCTCCCGAATCACTGGGGTTACAGACATACATCACTGTACCCAGTTTTTTCACAATCATTGTTTCTCTTTTCATTATCTCAGTCATGTTTTTGGAAGAGTAAAACTGTTTAATTTTGAGGAGGACCATTTATAATTTTCTTTCCTTAAAGTTAAGATGCTTCTATTGGTCTTATCTAAGTTTTACCTAACCCATGTTTATAAGGATTTTTTCCTGTGTTTCTTTACAGCAGCTTACACATTTAGGTTTTATGTTTAATTGTCAGATTCAGTTTGAGTTGAGTTTTTTATGTGGTATAGTATATGTACCATAATTCATTTTTGGCTATCCATTTGTGCTAGAACCATTTGTTGAAAAGGCCTTCCTTTCTCCCTTCAATTCCTTTTGCTCCTTTGTTGAAAATTAGTTGTCCATCCAGGAGTAAGTCTATTTCTGGATTCTTTATTCTGTTCCTTTGATGTAACAGGATTCCACTTCATGTTTTGAGTGTAAACCTTGCTGCTGCCCCACCACCACAGGTGGATCACTTTAAAACTGGCATTTTTTTCTTATTTTTCCATTTTCTTCTTCTTTATCCTCTCTATATCCCTAATGGCAGGGGAAACAAGACCAACATTTTTCCCAGCCCACACTAAGCTATCATGTCCTTCACACCATGAACAATATCACTGCCCACAAAAATAAAGCAACTCCAAACCTGGGAGCTGGAGCAACAGCTCTCTCAAGGACATCCACTGGACACTAATTACTTAAATCTACTGATAATGTTTGTATCCCAGTTCTTGTGTTCCTCCCTTAAAATTCCTGTGTTCCCACAGGCAGGGAGAATCAGCCTCTGGAACCAACAGTGTTTCCCCAGTGTTTCTACTTTGCTAACAAATCAATAAAACTTCTTCCTTTTTCTCAAAACCTGTCCTCATTATTAAATCATCAGTGGAGACAAGGACCAAGCTTTGGTATCATACTTACCTACCTTGATGCCAAAACCACAGTTTGATTACTGTAGGTTTATAAGGAATCTTGAAATCAGGTAGTGTTTGTCCTCTAACTTGGTTCTTTTTCTAAGTCATTTGTTATAGTTTAGGTCCTTTTTATTTCTACATGATTTTAACATCAGTTTATAAATTTCTTTTAATTTTTTGTAGGACTTTTATTGAGATTGTACTGAATCTGTATATTAATTTGAGGAGAAGAGACATCTTAATAATTCTGAGTCCCATGAATACCATTTGTCTTCCACTTCTTTGAGTCTTCCTTAATTTTCTTGGCAATATTTTATAGTGGTAAGTGTACAAATATTTTACACATGTGGATAGAGTATTCATAAATATTTCATACTTTGGTGCTGCTATAAATGGCTTTATTTCTTAAATAGCACTTATAATTCTTATATGTTCACTGAACCATCAAAATAAATATTTAAAAATAGATATTGAGGAATCTTTTTGTTTGAAAGTATATACTATTGTAGGATACTGTTTGATACTTAATAAGCATGGACATGTATTTCCATACCATCTTCAGAAATCATTAGCCATACATTGAAATAGACAGAAAAATGTCCCAGAGACAATACTGCAAATCATTTTCTGAAATATTGACCACTAAAATAATATAGTTTAGTAGCTTTCAACTTTATGTGTGCTATATTTGAATCTGTGAAAAATGTGAAGTTGTAACTTTTTCCCCCAGTAAATTCACCTCAGAAAATTCTTGGAATCATGGATGATGAGGAGGCTGAGTCTATGTATTTGTGTATGTGTGTATATATAACTTTGTATATTGCTGAATCTTCTAGGAATGTGTATTGTAAGGTGTCCTTAAAGTTAATTACTGAGCATTATGTCTGCCCTATATAGTTCCTAGCACATTTTAGGATCAAGATGAGGGTGTTGTTTCCTTTTTCTTGTACTTCTTATCTTTGGATACTTAGGTTTCTTTTATTCTTTTGCAATAAAAATAACATCACAATGAATATATATTACATATATATATTCATATTTGTATCTATACCACAATTTTCTGTTATTGACAGTACACATACATGCACATTTTTTTTTAATTTCTGGAAATTGGTTTAGTGAGTCAAAGAATAAAAGCATATACAATTTTGGGAGATATTATCAAATTTCCCTTCATGGCAGTTACATTAGTTTCCTGTGTCTACTGTAACAAATCACCACAAACTTAGTTGTTTGAAGCAAGATAAATTAATTTTCTCAGAGATCTGGAAAGAGAAGAAGTTAGAAATTTGTTTTATTGGCCAAAATCAAGGTGTCAGCAGAGCCATGCTCCTGGAGGCTCCATGGAAGAATCTGCACTGTGCCTTTTCCAGCTTCTCATATCTGCCAGCAT